TGATTAACCAAATTTTATATCTTAATAGTTCACGGAATCCGTCGCGAACCGTACCAGCCGTGTCCAATATATAACAGGTGTCGTATATGTCAGCGCATTCTAATTCCGTTGTGATGGCTGTACATTTGGAAGGCCCATAAAAAATAGCAATAAACATACAGGTGATTTTTTTTAATCATGGGCCACTCAATATCTCACTGGGCTTAACCAATAATTGAATTTTTAGCTTCGATGCGGAGCCCCTCCCAAACTAATTAATTTTATGTTAACTTTTGAAACTTAAATGGTAACGCATACATTTCATTAACTTTTAAAATTGACAATAATGTACTTAACATTTTGGCTGATCGATAACCAGTTTTGGATAACTAATTTTGAAGTTATGTATAAGTTTCAAGTTTAGAGTGGAAGGAAAGGTGGAGGGTAGTATTATTTTTATCTGCATGCACTTCCTCTCCTGTCATAACTTTTAAATCTTAAAACATTAAAATTAGTGTTCAAAATTGGTTATCAACCAGTCAAAATTTTTAGTAAAATATTCTTAATTTAAAAAGTTAATAAAATATTTACGTTACCATTAAGTTTCAAAAGTTGCTATAAAAAATACTAATTTGGGAGTGGGTAGAAACATAACAAAGTGTGGAAAATTGAGATCAAATTATGTAAAAACACAATAAAAAAAAATGTAATTACTAATTAATCCCAGTAAGATATTGAGTGGCCTACGATGAAAAAATCACCCTGTATATGTATATCGGCCAATGAACAATGACCATGTATTTCAATTCAATAGCAATATTGGGCGTTTGGAATTTTTTAAGAGAAGGGAAATTGCAAAATTAACTATAATTTATTATTTGTTTTAAAATTATAAAATAATTCTTCCTATTACATCTCATAATAATTATTTAAAGTTGTTTTACCTATGACCATAGATCGAACAGAGTCCAATGATAACATTTTTATAATTGTACAATAAAATGACCAAGTAAGAACATTGAAATTGGTATTTACCATAAAGCTCTTATATCAATTTGTACTTGTTAAATTTATAATATAATACTAATATTGCGTTGAGTTTATCAGTTAGCTTTTTAATTGATAAATATGAAAACTGTTTATTGTGTAACGAAGTGCGACTTTTTTATTAATTAATCTATATTCAAATAAACGTTTATGATTTTGTTTTAAGAAGAATGGGCATTCAATTTTAATGTATCGCATCGTTATTATATATTTTCATAATAGGTACAGTGTATAAGTAGGTAAATAATGATTATAAAAAAAAATCAGTCTTCTTTAATGCCCTTCTCTTGCTATAAATATGTCGTTATGTTGGTCATCGTCGACTAAACAGAAAACTAATAAAATTGCTTCATTTTACATCCAAGTCGACGAGAATTTAGTTTATACCTCTTACTTTATGTTGTATGCGTGTGATATTATAATTACATGGTCCGCCTTTTGGTCTATTGACTATCTACTCCGGATTAGTAAATAAATTAACACTCTGTGTACCTGACATAACGTTTTGTACTTGGATCAATAGACATTCCTAAATGGACAACATTGAACTTCGACGCGATATCGTGAATAACAGCCGTGACATATTTGAGTTATTATATTTTGATGTTTAAACCGTTCGACCCGTTATTATATTTTATATAGTTCAATTGTATTTCTTACTGCATTCACTCTACAAAATTGAGCTGATCAATTTTTCCATCTACACCGTGTTATTAACACTGACTCAAAGTAAATTCTTTTTTTCACGCTTCTTGTTTTCTTTACGCTACTTTACTTTTGGTAAAATGTTTATCGAATCCAAGTCGTATAATATACTCACTTAATCTTGTGTAATAGCAAATTATCATGTAAACATCACTGGGTACCTATTGTAGTCGCACACCGTCATCTTTTCTTCCAGTGATTTCATTCTAAGTGTATAATAGTAAATTAACACTTTACATGTTTGGTGTTTTGCTTATTGTTAGTCCAAAGCGCTATTTGTAATCAATTAATATTGTTAAGCCATTCAATTCGTTTGGAGCGGTTCAACCCGAAAATAAATTAGGTAAAACAAATTACACAATCTCTATACGGACATGTCAATTTCGCTAAGATCACTATTTACTAACCATCTTGATTATAAGCTCTTGGCTTAGAGTGTTAAAATACGGGAAACTCGACTAATATTGTCTGGAAAAGTTAATTAATTAAAATATCAAGTAGGTTTTGATGGTCGTTCGTTTAAGCGTAAAAAATAGCTATAAAAGTAGTGTGCACGCACTTCTGTGTGCTTTAACACAGTATTATTTGTCTTCACTTTTATGGATTTTCCTATAATATTCCTTATTGAATATACAGACAGATCGGTGATAAATCGAATTAAGGATTATGGTAGAAGGACCTTTTTGGTATTTTTTCATAGAAGTATCTTTGGATTTAATCTGTTAAACAATACAAACATTATTACTATTCCTACACACCAAATACACATGTATTGTAAAAACGGCATAAGAATACTAATTGGCAAATATCATTTTATTTCAATAAAAAATAAAACGAAAGTAAAAACAATCTCAGCAGTAAAATTATACCTTACGTCATTTCTCACGTTTTCAAAACTGATAATCAATTTAAACGCAATTTTTGACGAATGTAAGTATAATCATTTGTAAGGTATATATTTTGCCAAGGAAACTCTCTTGTGAAATTACGGTTAAGCTAATATGTGTAATTAGTGTAGTGTCTAGTGAACATGTGTCCAATTACTTTAATTACAAACATAAAGCAATTTACACATATCTTTGAAAGAAGTTAACTGTTAACTCAATGTCGGTGTAGGAGTTTACCTAAATTTGTAGGAGCTTACGAGTATCTGATGTATATACATATAACTGTACATACATAGAACTCGTATGAGTTCTTTAGCTATTTTATTAAGCTAAAACCAATATGTAAATAATAAAATGAAATAATACATTATTTTAAACAACAGGTTATTTAAAACAGTAAAATAAAATAACCAGTAGAGTCCAAACTAGTAAAGTATAACGTTATTAACGTTTTAATATTCAGTCGTGGTGAGGCGGAGAAGGGAAATGCAGTGGTGTAATGTGTACTGGTATAAATAATATTGCACAACACATAAGTCACCAAAAGTAATAGTATAGTTTTAGGTAAACCTGTATTAATACAACATGTTTTTACAGTAACTTTAGAAACAACAAATTATAACACAAAATATAATGACCGCTTCCAAGGTGTAATAGTTAAAACATTTTTTTTAACGAGTTAACAAATGCTTTTACTTCCCTTTTCCACGTTCGTTGTGATTTGTAAACTTATTCTTTAAACAAATTTAAACTACCTTTGGTTTTATTCAATTTTATCACTATTATTTATAATAATTCCTGTTGACCTATTACCTCTCCGTCCCCTCTATGCTTAGATTCCATTATGCCTATACTCTTCTGTACTAGTCCTCTCGAATAAAATCACTTTCAAATTAACGCTTTGACGCCTATATTTTGTAAATACAGCTCCTCAATTTTACACTTTCTAACTTTGCTGGTTTACACTGTGCTTGGTTTGGACTGTACTGGCTTGGAAATACTAACTACTTATTTACATCGAAGCGTTTTTTCGAAAGTGAATCTATCACTTTCAGATTTAAAAATTCCCGTAAACCTGTGACCTACCCGTCCCCACTATGCCCCAACACCACTATACTGGTTTTTAAAAAAATTCAAGAGCCATTTTATTAAGAATATTTTGCTTAAAATTTTGACTGGTTGATAACCAGATTTGAATAATTACTTTTCAAGTTACTAAAGGTTAAAAAAGGGTAGGATAGGAGGTGGAGTGCGGTAGATTAATGAGTGCAAATAATTATAGCTCTATGCGCATACTTTACCGTACTCCACCTCCCATCCTACCCTTTAACCTTTAGTAACTTAAAAATTAATTATCCAAATTTGGTTATCGACCAGTCAACATTTTCAACAAAATATTCTTAATAAAATAGTTGACTTGAATTTTTAAAAATAAAATAATTTAAAAAAGTAAAATAGTTAAGTGCAATAAAAAGCATGGTGCTGCTATTTGCGCTATGCAAATAAATATAAATTAATTAAAAACATTTTTGGCATTTTTTTTTTAAATATTCACTAGAACAAAAGTTATTTTATTTGTCGAATCATTGTGAAACACCCTATATATTTATATATATAACATGTGTACATGTTATAGATATAGATTAGACTTTTCTCCAGTCTAGTTTTTAACTGTTAAATCTCAAAATTGCGTCCAAAAAATAAACAAAAAGTTTTACCCACAAAGGAGGGTGGATGTTTATCGAAATGTGTGATTGGAATAGGAACTTTCCTTATAAAATATATTCTATATTATAAATTTTGACTAGATCCGACCGTTTTTCGAGAAGTTATAGCGTGTCAAAGTTGAAACTTGAAAACCGGCAAATTCTGTTTCGGTTTTTGGTGTGAAGAAACACTGTAAACTGTGCATTGTATTTTTTCAACTTTTCACTCACCGAGTACCAATCGCATACAATTTCGGATATACATATACATATTATGCACGTTACTCGAGTAAATCGGTGCAGAGGAAAAAACTTTTTGTGTCACAAAAAAACAACACAACTTATTGTATCGCCGGTCCGCATAAATGGTAAAATATGTATTTACAAGACAAATGTGTTTGGCCGTCTTTTTCGTGCCTGTCAAGGGCAGGGGCGGAAAAAACGGGGCGCTCGTTTCGTAACTATACAGTGGCGGCGGCGGCGGCGGCAGTGGCATCCGATTATCGCCACCTGATGACCACTGCTGCAGTCGCAACGGACGCGCAGGCGCAAGGCCGCTTTTCCGTGTACAGGTGCCGGCTGCCCGTGTGCGTGTATGTCGCTACCGACGCTGACGTTGCCCCTGCTGTCTGTGCCCCCAGCCGGCGCGCGCGTCGTCAACGGTCAAACGTCCTTGCCGCGCTCCAGTTCGTCCGCGACCCACCGCGCACGCAGTTCGTCGACGCGCCGGTAGGCTCCGGTTAGTTTGTTTATTTGTTTTTTTTTTTGTTATTGGTTTTGTTATTTTCTCCAAATTTATCGCTTCGAAAAAAAGAAAAACATTTTTTTTTTCACACTCGTCTTGTTTGCCCCGTCAAAATCTATTTTTTGTGTTTGTGCGTGTGTATGTGTAATATATATATATATATTTTAAGGGTGCGCCGAGAAACGGTTTGATTTGACAGTAATATTTTGAACAAATCGGTTTGATTGAAAAACAAATATTTGAACATTTTTTTTATATTTTTGATACCATTCTGTTGTCAACGATCAGTTTTTACATTTCGAGTGCAACGTGGACTAACATGACGGTGGTAACATGATGCGGGATTTGGACGCGTCCAGCCCCGTCGTCTGGCCTCCATGGTGTTATTCAGGTAAACACGCGTTAATTATTCCTATTAGTAAGCATAATATTATTACGGTTGGTTGACGCGCGGCCGATATAGGGGTTTCTGAAAAACAATTTCAAAATAATTGCACACTACATGCAGCTGAATAACTACTTAATACATTTATCAAAGAAGCCGAACTTGATATAAATACAGGGTTGCACGAGTATGAGGGTATTTTACAATGTTGATGTATTCAAAAAAGCGTATAAATCGAACAATTGACTGGTAATGATGTTAAAAACGTTAAAAAACCAATTTGTGTTGTATTACTTTTTAGAGTTTGACGCATAGAAAACCCATGTGAGATATAACCCTTGGTTCTTAATAAATTTAAGAAAAGCATGCGATTTTTTATAACTTTATATATTAAAGAAATTAAAAAAAAAACTGTACACTGCTAAAAGTGGCGTTTTCTAAAGATTACATTTGGACACTTTGAAATAGTTAAAGCAATTTCTTTACACGAGCCCCGGAGACTTGAGTACTATTCGTTGCTGAGGTATAGTGTAGTGATCATATTTTTTTACATAGACATTTTTGAAACAAAATGTTTATGACTGATATAATATGGTTTATTTACGACAGTGGTTGTAATGTATTGCGGTTTGAACACTAAAATATTGAAATCTGACTTATACCCTTTTGACCGCGCAGTAAGCGAGTTTTATTTACCTACATGAAGTATACTTACAATTTATAAATTTTTTCGCTTGACCGAAGTACGCAAAACGATCAGAGTTCTTGATAATTAATGCGATCGCCGGTCACGAGTAGGAAATGAAATCTATATTTTAAATATACATTCATATACTGTTTTGGAAAACAGTATATGAAAACAACGCAGTTTTTGAGTTCAACGATATTATTTGAGATCAGGAGGACAGGACCTTTGCAAATTAATCGACTCGCTTACTCGGAGTAATATCATTGTATTTAAATTAAAACGCGCTTTCAGGTTGGTTAAAATTCATGACCTTTTTGGTTTTTGACGAACGTTCCGGATTGGATGGGATTATTTGATTTTTAATGTTGAAAAAAACGAAAAAAAAAAATCTAAATTAGAAACATTATTTTATTATTATTATCTTTAGACCCGTCGACTGACAATTATTATTATTATTATTATTATTATTGTTATTACGGTTACGATGGGTCATTAGTTCAACGGCCTTTCAATCCCATTAGCTATTTAGATATCGTTCGCCATATTGGTGTGTGCTGTGTATATATTTTCATATTGATCATCGGGCCAATTGGTTATCGAGTACACGCTACTTTACGAGCAATTATAATTTAAATGCTGTGCACAGTATACATTGTACGCATCGAATTAAGATCCACAGTGACTGTTAAAGATTTACCCCCGACATCGCTTAACACGAAACGCACAAAGTAACATTTTAGTGTTTTATCCCCTCGAAATAAACTTAATTTAACTGTTTTATACAAAAATTGAGAGAGAGACAAAAATGTTTTGCACGTAGGAATTTAAAGGTATTTGAAGAGTTAATAAGTAAAAAATCTCATGTACAACTCGTAAGACATTAAAATATGTGCGATTACCAGTGTACGAGATAGCCACACATTGACTAATAAAACTAAAAAACGTATTTTTTCTTAGGCCAATGGTTCGAAACACTTGTTTGATACACTGATAATAACGACAACCTAAATTTGTTGTTGAGTTTTCCAAGTACGGTTGACTGGAAATTCATTTGAGTCAACTGACTTAAGGCCTAACTTACTTAGGACCGAGTATCCGCGTATTTACCCGAAAATATGAGTCTTGCGCGCAATCAGAAAAACTCAGGTTTTGTCAACTCTGGATGATTTACTGTTCTATATTAAAAAAAAAAAAAAAACAATTTCGAATTTGAATATTTCCTTAATGTTCCATTGAGTTTCCGCGGAGGATATTATATAAGTTACGTTCGAGGCTTTGTATGTAATTTATGCGCGTACAATTATTATTATAAAACATGTTATAATATTTATGGAAATTTCTCATCGTCACGTCGATCGTCTGTTACTAATACCTAGTATCGAGCTGCTGACAAAATACTATGTAAAATCATATTAAGGATATCTTAGAGTGTACGTTACACGTTTGAAATGATTAAAAATATGTTTTATACAACTATAATTATTATTGCTGTGTGGGACGGTGTGCATGCGTTACAACATGAAACGTCGGTTGTTATAAATTCGTAGCGTGCAGGATCTTCGCGTGAACGTTGAGTTTATTGGAGTTATCGAGGATTAGGTCGTGAGCTTCAGATAAGCCGGAATACGAGTGCGTTCAATTTTCGACGATATAGTAAATTGCATCAGTTGATTTTGACCTTTTAACGTCTCCGGCACATGTATGGAGTTAAAAAAAAAAATAAAAAATAAAACAAAAAGCATACGGCCGAAAGGCGAACACATACGCACAATCCTTGACCTCGGAGACTTTTTAGACCATCACCCGGGTGACACATGACCCACTTGACCCGGCGCTCTTATCGGCACACATACCCCCTGTGCGCGATGACGCAAAACACATTTAATTAGAGTAATTAATAATAGACACGATAACTGTTAAAGACCGACCGCCGAGAGAAAAAACGCACATACGCATAAACACTCACAGAAAAAAAAAAAAATGAACGTTCAAACGAAAAACGACATTTGAAAATAAAAATAATGTATAATATGTGTTCAACTGAGAAACGTTTCACAACAAATCGCAATAATCAACCGTAACTACAAAGTATTTTGTCCATACATCAATTATATCGCACGAGTTAACAACCCATATGCACAGTAATTTGTTGGTTTTCCGTCTACTTTGGCTATCACAGTTTTGCCAGTTTTGGCAACCGTATACCACGCTATAGCTGCTTATGCAATATATTTCCGTTTTATTTTAACACTACACTATATCTTTTAAAAATTACGTTTTTTTTTTTGACAAACAAATGTCTTTTGTTTATGTTGTAGCTGGCAAATTAGAAGACAATTATTTACGTTTAACCGATATAATAACGATTACCAACATGCAACTGAAAAATCGGTTTTATTAGAAATTGGGTATGAAAATAACCCCCGAAAAAAGCTGGGGGGTAGTACGTAAGGGTTAATGCTCTGTTTAGTGTATATTAACATTTTTACATGATTTAAAAATTCGTATCCGGTTTTAGACAATGTATTCCATCTAAAAAATGTATTAATTGTTATCATAATTTTTATTGAAATACGACCGGGTAACTCATTTTACTATAAAAGCCAGAACGACCTCCCTAATAGTAAACCTGGTTTTATTCATTTTTTTTTTTTAAGAGATCGAACTGAGTTCAGATGAAGTCGGCTGATACTACTAATAACACTTGAGGCCCGTCCGGAATGATCACAACATTAGACACATTTTCGCAGTGTCATCATTTGTAAGCATTACGATATGTGTATTTAGTGTATTATACATATCATATGCTATTTGTTTAAGTTGCCCATTTCCAATTGTCAGAACTATTTCTTATTACACAGAGTGGGTTTTAAATTATAATAACGTTTTTCATAGTTAATATTATTAATTACATATATATGATCTCGCGTAAAACAGTGATGTATTTGAACAATTTTTTTTTTTTATGAGAAATAGCCATAATAATTATCAAACGCCGCGACCTCACTGCCGGATAAATTTAGGGCACACTATGTGTATATAGATAACCTTTAAAGACTAAGCCACTGTTTTTAGTGCCACGTCGGTTATATTCGTGTGCACAGCTATTGCACAACAGACGTCCTGCAGATTGCATGCGAACTACAAGCGCAGAATAATAATGAACCGTCGTCGTGACCTGTGACAAAATCGAATTCGCGTCTGCCCATTTCTGGAAACAATGTGTACAGACGACACTGCCCCCACATATAACACTATATCTGTACAACATGTAATATACATAATATTGTACATACATTATGGGCTATGCACCATTTCGGCCACAACCTCTGCACATTTCGGTGTAGGTTTCGACACAAACGGGCACTCGAGGGCAATTAAAAATGATTGTAAAGTCATTTTTTGCCGGTGCCAAAAACGCACGGATGATGAATTTACCGCCGTCAAGGTGAAATAATCGCACAGCTAATTAGTCCTGTACAGTATGAGGGTATCTATACACACATTATAATGTATATACGGTTCGGTGTTTACTTTGTATTAACTAATTTATTTGATTTGTTATGATTGCAAATAAGGTAACGAGCATATATCCTCGTGACAGAACACTCGGGGCGGTTTTACCATTATTTTACGACGTCATGTCTGTCAAGACGCGCTTCTTAAGCACAACTAGTTCCACACAACTGCACAACTGGTACGCGGTCTCGAAGGGTTTTAAAAGCCCAACCCCAAAAATAATAGCACTTAAACCTAAGGTATTTTCCGAGTCAGCCTTGAATTTCACTCGGGATTGACGCGATGAAATGGAATCTTATATTAAATCAACTGCTACGGCCTACTAAACGACTGTGCGAGTCTAAAAATAGTCTTCTAGCCCAGCAATGGTCGTATGTGGATCACATACCTACATACGCCGACACGTTTAAAAGAAATTCTATCTTATTGCTTTGTGAAATTGTTATATTTTTGTAATAATATAATATAATGTGACTCGACAGGCCCGACCGTCTTTTGGTTGCTAATTTCCTACTTCTACGAGGACATTCCTGCGACAGTTGTTAATAATCCCGTGCAAACAAGTTCAAGTTATAATATTATTTTAAATAACTGTATAGTTGAGTAACCAAATTTGTGAAAACTAGCTTATTAGTGTGTTAGTGCTCATGTTAGAATACAATAATTAGGACAAGTTATATAATTACTTCTGAAACGCTCTCAACTAGTTTTTGATAGAGTTAGACATTTTTTTTTTCATCAAATAGCTTGATGAACCGGATTAAACGGGATTGACGTTATTGTTTTACATCGGAGATCA